AAATAAATTCAAATTTTCACTTAAAAAAAGAAAAATATTAACTTAAAACCTTCCGAAAAATAATAACCTACAATCTTTTACTGTTGTTTAGCTAACTCCTAGTTGTATAACGCACAATAATATTAATAAAAACTGATCGTTCCGATGACATTATGTGCAGTAAAAGTGACACTAATGGAAGCGCCATCTATCTCCTAAATTAATCTTCAAAAGAAAAATGTCGCGCTAGTTACAAGTCTGTGGACAACTTAATTGCAGTACAAAATTAACAGGCGTATTATTCTCTGTCTCGGATGCTCTTATATAGAAACTAGCGATCCGCCCCGACTTTGCCCGGTACAATGCTGATACTTAATACAATACAGAAAAACGTTGTTTATAAAAATTCCTCTTAAATCACTTTTCAATTAAATTATTTTAAGTTTAAGCGGTATATAGGGACAGAAAAAGCGACTTTGTTCTATTGTTGTGTGTGCTACTTTGATATTAGCTCATATATTTGCCGTTTAAAACCGTTAAAAATAGTACCAACGCATATACTACACAACAGTAGGGAGAAATTATTTCTGCTTCTAAATATAGTGACGCTCAATTATGTAGTATATATGTTGGTATTTAGAAAGTTCAAGCTATATCTTGGGATCGCATCGCAAATGCTTTAATTACATAATAAGCTATTTCAACCTACACCTTTGAACCTAATTGAAACTTTTAACATTTACTTTCTACTTCATAGAGTCATAACCTCTTTGTTGATCTATGGTTAACCGTTCGATAGCTCGAATCCGGAGAAAAGTTATAGCGTGTTCTACTTACCATGGAATTAGGCCTTTAAACGGATTATAACGCGAATAATATTTGTTAAATTCTTTCTAATCATCAACTGACGTTTTATATTCTTTTATGACCACGGCTGCAGTAATGAAACTATAGACCGTATTTAGCGGTTTAAAACGCGATATATATCACTTAAATTACGTTTCGGATGTTTTGTAGCCGTGGTCACGAGGAGACTAGATAAATATATCGCGTTTTAAACTGTTAATTTGTTTTATTTAAATGTGTACTAATCGCGTAAACTACAGAAAGTATTTTATCAAGTATATTTCAAATTTGAAATCGTTATGTGTTTATTTTTTCATGTTAGAAATCGCCTTATGTACAGCTAATTAACAACTTGTCTATTTTTTTTTATAAATATCAATAAAACGGACACAAACATATTGTACAGTTACGTGTATATTTGTTGACGAACACGGTGTTGATTTTATAAACTCATGTCGCCACTGTAAAATACGATTAGGGTATCGAACTTTCGCTGAGTATTTGAAAAAACACGATAAGCGTTTATAAAAAGTCAAGAAAAATGTTAAAAGAATCGGTTTCGCCACTTTCACTAAAACTTAGAGTATAAATCGGAGGTTCTTTCTTGTTTTTAATAACAACTCAATACTTTCGTCCTTCAAGTTTCCGAGCAGACTTGAAATATTAAACTTGAATTTACGTGCAAGTTTTATTGATTTCTTAATTAAAACGAGTACGAAACTGGTTCAATTTTATGGCACGGTACAGTTTAAAACCCTTCATATTTCTTACATTGAAACATTCTTGTAGTAAACATAACTACGCTTAATTCAATAACATCATATCTATTAAAATGTTGACCGGTCTAGTGCGAGTCAGAAACGCTTATAAAGGGTTCCGTATTCACTAGGTTATCAAAATGAATATTGTAACCTTTTTGTATACATTATTGTCAATCTGTTAATATTTATTCATATAAAGTAAAATAGATATTTTGTATCTATTTTGGCGTGTATTGCAAGCTGTAACTGTATTTTTGTTGTGGCAGTACAGATTACATTTCTCGAACTTTCTATCGAGATTCTTATACAAAATGGATACAGACAGACAGCGGAGTCCTATTATGAGGATCCCGTTGCCAAACTCAAAAAGTTAAAATACACGTATAAACCTCGTATATTTTAGTCTTTTCTTGTCTTCAAATCATTTTGTATTTAGAATACCTAAAACTTAGACTTGGTTTGATATTTCGAATTCTAAGGACCCATTAAGTAAGCTTCTTATTACGCAGAAAGATGGTGTAGAATTCTTGATAAAGATCCCATAATATGTGGGCTAAGACATCTTTTCACAGTCCATTTAACAAGTCAAATCTATCTTATGTAACGACATGATAATGAACATTACCCTTAAGTTTATGGCTCTATGTAAATAGCTCTTTTGTTATTACTACTTGCTTCCATTTTATATCTACAATCGTTACGTTTCAACCTATTAACGTCCATAGATGAGAACAGATCTTAGAACATCACTGCTTCAGAGCGGGTTGGCTAAAACTGTTACTAATGTATAATAAGCAGACTGACGACTTGCTCCTGGACCTCTTAGTTCCAAACTGCCTCTTGGTACCATTGATTTTCTTTGAAGCGACCTGTTTAAATAAAACACTTTTAACGGTTTAAATGAAAATGTATGTACACGGGGAGACCCGTGACCACGGCTGCTGCGAAGCATCCAAAATATCATGGCGAATTAAAAATAATTTGTAAATAAGTTTCACTAATACATTTAGCGTTTCAAAGCGTTAAGTGTTTTATTTAAATATGTGCTACTCGCGTAAATTACAGACAGCACGTTCGTCCTCATGGAATCACTAGACTAAAGAAATAATCTGTTATATTCACAATGACACATTGAAATAACTAACTTAAATAATATCTTAACTTGTTAACACATTTAACTTAACGTAAGACTTAAATATTTAGTATAGATACAATTCTGATTATGCTACTACAGATTCTTGAAAAAAAAACGCGTACATCTAAAAGCACCCTCAAACCTCTTTTCTATAAAAAATCTTATTTGATAACATCACGCGAGTTACTCATGCACAGTGACGAATTTTTTCGTTAAAAGAAATGATTTTGAACCCACACTGGAAGAAATAACTTTTACGTTCAATTAGCCAATAAAATTCGCATAAAGATCTTATTTATATCAATGAATACATTTCCTGTCACCGGATTCCAACATCATGAGAACAACATCTGCTTGTTTACTTCTAGATATTATAAGATTATGTCAAATTCGTAACAGAGATTGTCTCTTGGTTCGGACTCGTAAAATATTTATATCTTTGAGAAAATAGTCTTATTGTTATCCTTAAGAATTTGTAGGGCAGGTTTCATCATTTGAAATTATCTTAGGCATATCTTATTTAAAGAAAAAAATATATTATTCATAGGAAGTTATTTTACAGCGGAATAGTTTTATAGAATAAAGATGAGTTTTGTCGATATTAAAAGGTTTATCTTAGTATCTGTTGTGATATATATTGATGTTTGAAATTGCACTGTTGTATCTCTTTGTACGTTTCAAATTTCAATTATCAAATATACTTACAGACGAGTTGATGTTGTGTAAGTAATTCACGCTATTTCCATATAAGACATGCTCTCCATCTTTAATCTCCCCGTGACCACTGCTGAAAAGCATAAAAACGTCGGAGCATATTTAAAATAAGTTGTAAAGTTTAACTACTAAGTATATTCGTTTAAGCGACTAAAAGTGTTTTTTAATTGAAATGTGGGTAGGTACTAGTCGCGTAAACTACAGACATAATTCAATATAAGCTAGCTAAATAGCTTGGCTCAGTTTCTATTGATAACACTTAATGTATCACTTTTAAACACTCTCAAAGATATTATGTTTATGATTTATATATCCTAAGTTTATGTGTACAAGTACTAAGCCTTCAATCATCTATTTTCCTACGCGTACCAAAAACTTTTGCCGTCATAAAATAAGTTTATGAATTCCTTAAGATATTTGCGCTTGTTGTCTCCGACTTTTACGACGTTCTAAGGAAAAAATACCAACGCTATTACTCGTTGATAAGAAATACAGCGTTTTAAATTTTAATAGACTTAAATGCGAACAACATTGCAATATAATAATTCTATACGAAAGGGACTTATAACAAAGAGCGCTTGAGACCGCAAACATCGTTTGGAAACCTCTAACCAATTGCATTCAGACCATAATCTAAGTAAAGTGACTACTTTGCAGGGATTTAGTGCGTAGAACAGTGACACTCAGTCTAAAGAGATTTATTCGAATGCGACTAGACGCGGTTTTCTTCACGATTTTTATCTCAAACGCTTACAAGACGTTATTACTAGACTCATAGATATGTCAAATTTGCAATAAAGACTCTTTATTTCTATGCTTTGATACTCGATCGGGAGCAATTGTAACGTGGGTGGATATGATAAACCGTTACATTATGTACCCCTATGTAAACTTGTAACAAGTGCTTTCTTTCCCAACTTAGTAGCTTGGGCACCGGGAAAATGAATTAAGCTTGTACTAAGATATTTAGGCCCGCTTTGTAGTCAACGGTTAAGCGCGAGAGGTTTTGGATTCAAATCCCAAGGAAACAATAGTTCGTTGCGGTCGGGCAGCCCATACAAGCCTGATCAACTACTGTAAAGAACTGATCAGTGAGTTCACAGTGTTAGATATTTAGAGCCCAATTTATCAATCACGAAGGTATCGTAACGAATCTTATTGCTATGCAGATTGTAGATTACTTGCGTATAAATTATAAAAAATAAAATATAAAAGAAGACTCAAATGCCTTCTACTTTATTTTGCAATACAAATATTGAAAAATTTATGATATGAACACAATATAAAATGATACCTTATACAAATAAGACTTAAAATTAATAATTACAAAAATAATTATCACATTTCTCAAAACCGGTGTCGTACAACATATAAAAATTATATCTAGTTATATCGAAAATCGAGCTGACTTTCAGTTCTTCAATAATAGACAGTGAATGGTGAGCCTTGCTATGGTAAAATCGGTGCGAGCGTAAGAGAACGCAATGAGCGAGCGGACATGAGTGTTTGTTTGTGGGGGGTGCGGTGATGCGTGCGACGCGGGCGCAGGATGCGCGCTCGGTTTGATGGAAGAGTCATGGTCGTCGGGCGGCGCGCCGCTGTTGCGGACCAGGTCGTTGCCACTAGTGCTAGAGGCCAGCGGTGGTGCGCCCACGCGTCAGACCAAACTCGACCCGCGTCAACTCCTCACACTAACCAGACATTACTACCCGGAAGGCGGCTGGGGATGGGGGGTGGCTGTGGCCGCGACGATAGCTCAGCTCCTAGCGCACGGGTTGCATCAAGCTGCTGCTATTCTCGCTGTGGAAGCGATAAGACGATTCGGCCCGGAGGTGCAAATGCAAGCAGGTAACATTGGATTTGTCATCCGAATACATTTAATATGGAGGCAATTTAAGAAAGCTTTATAGATTATGCACATGTCGTTTATATAGCTTGGTTTCTCGAGCTATTCGGCCGTCTTACTTGAGAAATGGCCATAGGCGTTACGCTATAAGTGTTCAAACATGGCAGCATCAGGAGATGTTGGAGCTATATATTCTGATGATGACGAAGCTTTATAACAGTTCGAAAAGCCTTTCGCGGCTACTTATACAATTTATAGATCGAGCTTTTTCATATTATTCCTTAATTTAATAGCATTGAGTTCAAGTTTATTGAAAACAATGCCTTTTCTCGGACTCGCCACGCTAGTATATAATTAAATGCCGTAGGATTATTTACCGAGTAAATAAGTTCGATTACAGCCAATTATCCATAAATACTTTTAAAATAAAAGGTTGGGCCACTGTTAAACCACATTCATATGTCAAACCTTTTTAATACGGTTTCATTAAATGTGACATGCAACTTTTTTGAACCTTCGAAATAAATTCACTTTCACGACTTATTTATATTGACATGAATTGAATATCACTGTATTGTCACCAATATGATTTTTTGCTATAATGTTGAGAACAGCTCGTTCATTACAATATAGCTATGTCTCTTTGCTTGGCCTCTCTCATTAGGATAAAGAAGGTTAGAAGGTTTTTAAGAGCTTTATCGTAAATTACGAGCCACTTGGTCTTATGGTAATTGTTACCATAAAACCAATCAATTTATATTTTTCAGAAACACGTCGGACGCCTGGGAACCTGAATATTAAATAGATGAAATATCGAAATTCCGTTCAGGTCACGAACCACCGTTCACTGATGAAAAGCCGTGAAGTTTAATCGCGTTTCGTTTATGAAGTGCACATCTATTTTATCTATAGCTGCGATATTTCATCTTCCATCAAGTGTACCCCATGCCCCATTTTCTTTTCTCCTCATCGTACAATAAGACAATTAATTCAAATAGAATAAGTACTACTATGTGCGTCTAACTGGTTTCTTAGCTCACTAAAATTCATCAATAATCTCAGTCCAAATTCTGTACTTGGACGATTTCCAATCGTGGGTTCGTTAAAATCCTTCACATAGTGTCTGGATAGTTGGTAAAAGTTTCATCGACAGAACGGATTTTCACTAACGAAGTCTATGACTTTGCTGTGCAAGATTGCTTCGCCAATCGTTTAGATAAAACCAAGGGCGAGACAATGGTGTTTTTACCTCGACAAAGTTAAGTGCGAGCTATTTGAAAGGGCTAAGAATACCGTGAACAACAAAGACGATAAATGGTAAAAATTCAGACAACTCAAAGTATTAACGATATGTTGATGACAACAGTATTTTTCACACTTTTGTAAGTCAAGAACTTATATTACAAGCTGTTGACTATTGTAGAAACGCTTAAAAAATTAAAGGATCTGTATGTAAATATATAGATACTTGTATTTTGCACTCTGATAAACTAAAGAAACTTTGCTTTCCTGTTACTTTTGTATAAAATTGACAAATTTTTAACTATACAGTCATTATACCCTTTACAACTCACTGCTAAATCAATTTTTTAAGAAAAGATATTAAATCCTTTTCCAGTATGATTAAAAACATGCACCATACATTCAAAATTGTAAATAAATATCGTCGTTATTTATTGATATAAACAAACTCGACAGCTACATCATATGCGCATTAAAAAAGAACGAAAAGCCGATATTTCACACTAATGAAACTTCTAGAATTCAAATTGATATAGTATCATTATGGTGTTGAACCAAATTTGTGCGTTCTATAAGACGTAGGCTTTCGATTTAATCAGGTTTTAAATAGATTACTACATAAATTAAACTGGGCTTAAAAAGTTTGAGTGTACTGTAATCAGTGCGCTATAGTAACGCAGTAAAGTTGATTGAAGGGTTTGAAGATGCTTATGGGTATATAGACACAACGCAATAGGGTTAATTTTGTAACAGACTGTTATTAGTATTTGAGTATTACAATATTTTACACTTAAAAGATTAGTCAATACTTTATAGAGCTCACGATGTTGTTTCTCTAAGCTAAGCTAATTTTAGGAATTACATGGTTAAATTGAAAAATATTTTTGTGTTAGTGACCAATAGGAGGGGAGAAACAGTATTTAGGAAATAAAAAATAAAAAAAAATCTCTAAAAAAATGTTCCGCGACATTATATGTCTATGGGACATGGGAAAACCTATAATCTATAAAGCTGAGGAGGTTGTTTGCAAACATAAATAATACGATGCTCAAAATAACTATTCCACGGGAACGAAGTCGGAGGCACGGCTAGTTTAGTAATATGGGTACAACTTGTCTTAATTTATTCGTCTATTTGTAGTTACTGTACCACAAAGAGTAGATAAAAATTTTAAAACAAAAATCTTTACACTAACTTAGAATTTTATACACATTAATGTTTGCTGGTAATTTACCGTTTGATCTCAATAGGACACTTACTGATCTATGTAGCTGTTTCATACACAACTTGGAATATACTGATAATACTCCACCAGCTGGCACTGCCCAATAAAAAGTCTAAAGCAATTTTATCGCAGTAAATCTGTCTAGTCTGGATAATTGAAAGGTTTTTAAATATATTGCGGGGGACGAAGCACACTCGTAAAACTAACAGTCAATAAATACATTATTGTGAGTTGTCATGATCCGATAATCTTCTTCAATAGAGTCATAATTTATGTTTATCTGTTGAATGGATCACTAATGTATTTGAAACGAAAGACTCAATTCAGTTAATGTTTCTTATATCTGAAAGTTCTTGGAGTATTGTACCTACTTGTGGTAAAAAGAATACACACATAAAGTGTTAACAAAACTTGGGTATTTATTCTTGTAATGATTTGAGGGTTTACTGTTAAAATGGTCACACTTAACCACTGCCTATTTAAAAATACTACATAAACGACAATTATGGATGACACTAGGTATGACCGCGACGTTACCCGCGTGGAATAGTTCTTCCTTATCTTTATAAATCACAGCTGTTATCAATGACGTCACCGTATGTTTTTGAGAGTTAATCTTAAAAGACACATTGCATTTAAATAAAACACTTTAACGGTTTAAAAGCGATATATTAGTTAAACTTATTTGAAAATTATTTTTAACTTCGCAAAGACAGATTATTAAATTGATAGTTTTTTAGATGAAGACGAATCATTCTTTCATATATTTGGTTACTTGAACATAAAAGCCCTCAAACATAAATTCTTCCGTATTTTCCTTTTAGTGTTCCCTTCTATAGATCACAGCCTGATGTTTATAGGAATAAAAGATACATAGAGAATTTTTCAATACAAACCAGTAGTTGGTTGACTTGTTCTGAGGAATAACGCGTTCAACCAAACAATTTCAGATTTATAATACTAATACAGATTGATCAGATTGACGAGACTTTGTATTCTATTTCTTACGTTGCATTTTTTTTTGGTTTGATCAAATAATCAGCACCTATATCTAAATTTCCTGCCTCCGATGTATATTTTTGCCAAATACATTGAAAAATCTGTTTTATAAATCATTTCAAATAATGTTACACATATAAAATGGCGGCGAATAAATTGAATGATATCGCCTGTCTGATAAACGCAAACATTAATCATCACCTTGCGAAAGACGTGTAATGAATAATTTTATAGCCCACGCAATTTGTGAACATTCCCTGGAAACATTTTTTGATATCCTTTGAATGGAAAGTCTGCGTGAGGTTTGTGGAAATCATGCGCAGCATTTACATACTTCATTTATGCTTAACTAGCTGAGTCGTTCGCGTAGAATAGTTATTTTGGTTAATTTTTTTTTTTTTGCAAACCTCCTTTTCAAATCTATAAATTTAGGCTGTTATCCACAACGCCGTCCGCGTCCCGTCGTTCTTGCAAGTTAATCTTAAAAGATAGACATACTGTCGCGGCCTTTTTTTCAGCTCATTTAAAGGGAAATCATTCTTTCCTACAATATATTCGTTATCTTGAACCGTTTGCGCAATGGAAACCCACTAGGATGAATAATTTTCCCCTTTTAGCTACAGGGCTATGCTTTATAGCCTTTAGTTTTCTTCAAATTTTTTTCAATTCGAACCAGTAGTTCTTGAGCGCGTTCAAACATACAAACAAACATACTCTTCAGCTTTATTTATTAGTATAGATAGTTGACGGGCTCGTTGGTCTTCTGGTAGTAGATTAGTAGCTAATAACAACGGGGCGGGGGTTCGATTCCGCGTGTTTTAAGGGCTACGTTTTACAGCTCTCATAGGCTAGTGACGACACTGTCATTCCAGGAAACAAATAGCACTACTTACCCGATGATAAAACCGAGCGATTAAAACGGTCAAAAACATAGGTCAACCCCGGTAGTTTAGACGATTTCATTAAATATTAAAGTTGAAAAGAATAACATTTGATTTCGCCTGTCACAGGATGTGTGTTTTAACAGAGGAAACAGCAGCTAACGTTTTAAAATAAAACGGAAGAAGAGAATATGTTGAGACATCAATTTAATTGATTACTGACATAATTTGGGCAACCACGCTTTTATTCTTTAAATATTTTAATTCAAGATTCAGAACTCCTCTGTTGACTGGTTTACACTGATATGTGCAAATCTATTCAATATATTCTCTTTTATCTATTATTTATCTTATAAAACATAAACAAACAAGGTAATCCAAGCCACCAATGTATCTAAAACAAATAAAAGTGTAGCAGAAAAACACAAAATTAGAGACGCGTTTTCAGCGCTCCGTACATAAATTCACCCGATCATTCTCTGTCAAAATCGCCGTCGATATCTATGTAACCGCCACACGATTATGACGATCTGTTTCGCGCGATATCCGCAAAAAAGGCGCTAGACTGGCAAAAAGGCCAGGGAAGGCACGGGTGGCCGCCCACCTAACTGCCAATCATCAACAATCGTTTATTAGGATCCAAGCGAAGGGTGAT